GCGAGCCGCGGCTTGCCGACCACTGAATCATTAGATTCTAATGATTGGTCTATTTGTGAGCCGAAGCCACATGTTACAGATGAAATTGGAATTTTTCCCACGGCACACCAGACAATATCTCACGGCACACTAGTGTGCCGCGGCACAGTGGTTGAAAAACGCTGCTCTAAGCTCCCCCTGTCTTTCCTTTATTGCGCATGGCGCAGGCAATATTTAAGTTTTGCAACTCCGCCCCTCCAACCATAAATGTCCTGCCTCCCAATGTCAGATCTAGACCTGCCATGCCTCCTACCCTCCACCTTGTGTAAGGTAGGACAGGGAAAATGGCTATGTCCGGCTATGAAGGACAGGGGGAGGGGGGGCTGTGGGGGGTGATATATAAGGAGTCCAGAGACTGCAATATGAAGGGGGCTTCTATAAAGGGGGTGAGTACAGGAATGGGAAGTGGGGTTAAAATGAAGGGGGACTAGGGACTGCAGTGGGAAGAAGGAGATATAAAGGAGGACAAGGACAGGAATGTGGAGGGGGGTGATATGAAGGGGGCTAGGGACTGCAATGTGAAGGAGGGGAGTGCTATAAAGGGGATGAGGACAGGAATGTGAAGAGGATGATATGAAGTGGGGCCAAGGACAGGATTATGAAGGGGGCTGGGGGCTGAGGATTGTAATCTGAAAGGGGTTGATGTTAAATGGGTTTGAGGACACTGCTGTGAAGGGGGACTAATGTGAAATGGGAGACTGTGATGTGAGGGGGGCTGTGATATAAAGGAGGACTTTGATTTAAAAGAAGGGGGGTTGTGATGTGCAGGGGGACTGAGAACACTGATGTGATGTGAAGGATCTGAGGCTAGGTTCACATCATTGCGTCCTGCATTCTGCATGTAGGCAGCCCATTCATTTAAGTAGGCTGCCTAATATGCAGAAATGCAGAGAATGAAGTCCCTGACTCTTATTTTAAATTGTGCCGTACTGAGCCACATGTTGCTGCTGCACCATGCAGTTTGAAGTTTGCGAAAACAAACCACGTTTTTCAATGCGCAGAATCAAACGTGATTAGGACCTCTGTTGGAAGAAAATTTCACTGACTGGACCTCCGTCAATTTTAATTCAATATCCCTGCATTATGGCATTCTCCTGACCACACAATCCCGCAGACAGTGTTACAAGATCTGTTGCTACAAATCACCTTAAATGCTTGATATAGCTAACAGGGCTTGAATTCCTGTACAACACAAAGTAGACTGACTCCCAGATTGACAAATCTTAGTTGATAAATGCAGACTCAGATGCTGAAATCCATCTCAAGGTCTCTGCGCTTCAGACAGTGACCTCAGACAGCCAAACGTAAATCTCATAAATTAAAGAGATTATCAGCCTGGAAGTCACTTATTTGAGCTATTACTTACCTAGCACACATAGCTTGTTCCTTCAATGGTGACATACATTTAGATGATAGTAACTGTAAAGGCATGCATCATTGCCAAGATGTCTGTTCTGCAGTAAAATGTCAGCAATCTCAAGATCTCCCCATTCTCACTGTGCAGCTTGAAACCAATGTCAGGGAGAATGGGTGTACAGGAACCGGAAAACCTATTGCTGGAGACCGTGCCCTGGGAATGCTCAGCTCATTGCTTGATCAAGATAGTAGACCAGATGCGAGTAGACAATCAACAAGTAACTAAGCCATTCCTCAGACCTGTTACTGGCCTGTTTATATTGATATCACCAGGGAACCCAAACAGTAGTATTGGTTGATACCAGGCAGAGAGTGTCATGTCTCCAGTATAGGGTTTTTATAATGTTCTGTTGCTACTTCTTTAATTTGTCTTGGATTTGACCTAGTGAGCCAAGTGCACTAACTCACATAAGTGCAGAAACATGTAGATGTGTTTTTATCAAACTGTGCACTTATACCTCCCATGGCTCTTCCGTCAGTAGAGTTTAGCAGTGTGTGGACAAAGCCAGCCACTAACTGGGGTGTATGTTAAGCCTGGATGAACATCTTTAGTGGCAGCATTGTTGGTGAGAACATTTATCCAGCATCTACCACGCTCTTTAGCAGCTCAGAGACACTGTTTATTCTATTTTTGTATTCTAAATGTCTGTATTTTTTATTTCTTCCCTCTTTCACCCCACCCTTTTCTCTGCTTACAGCTTCAAGATTTATTTACATGGTCAGCCTTATTGAAGGATAAAAGGGTTTAACTGCATGTCAAGCTGCATACTGTCCACATGGTAAAGTGTAGTGAGGTCAGAACAGCTATTTTGCATTTACTCTGTTTCAGAAAAATAAAAATAAAGATATACACACACACACACACTATGGTGTCTATAATCCTATTGTTTTGCGCTCCTTAAAAATTACATATGATCACTTATCCATGCCCAGAACATATGACCATATGAAGACAAGTGAAAAAAGCATATATTAAATCTTTTAACCAAAATTCATATATAATAATCACTTAATTTACTTAAAAAACAAATTAATTCTTACTATTAATATATATCCGTGATTAAAAAAATAACTAAATCAATAAATATATCATTTTTAGTGAGAAGAAAAAAATATATAAATCTCAAATAAAGTTATTTTAAATAAATATACATATATTCTTAATTAATGTGTGAAAACAGTGTCCCATATAACATAAAAAATATATAGTGACTTTGTGCTTTAATTAATCTTCAATCCGTGATTGCATGTGAATCCGTGACTGTTTGTGAATCCTCCCATTAGTGCAGATGTAAGCTCACCTCCTTATCTGCCTATAATTAGGCTAAATGCGCTTTTGGTTCTCCTCCTATGGAACCTGCTTGGTTAAGACTCTTTCCTTTTTAAATAGTGGATATCCTTTATCACTGATTTTTCCCCTCTGGGATTGATCCCTTCTCACGAGGACCCAAGTCCTCTATACTCTCCTCTCCATACGTCTCTCCACATATAGGAAAAAAATTCTAAACAGATCCAAATCAAAACCCCCTGATGAAGCCACGTGACCAGTGGCGTAACGCGTAGGGGTGGGACTGCAACGTCACTCGGAGGGAGTCAGATTGTTTGCCAGATGGCGGGTGCATGCTTCAAACAGTCAGCGGAGGACTCGGTTTATATTTGATATGCCTTATATTGAATACAACACATGTGAGTGCATTACTTGGAGATAATAAAGCCATACTTTTAAAAAGGATAAAACACTATGTTTAGAATTTTTTTCCTATATGTGGAGAGACGTATGGAGAGGGGAGTATAGAGGACTTGGGTCCTCGTGAGAAGGGATCAATCCCAGAGGGGAAAAATCAGTGATAAAGGATATCCACTATTTAAAAAGGAAAGAGTCTTAACCAAGCAGGTTCCATAGGAGGAGAACCAAAAAAGCGCATTTAGCCTAATTATAGGCAGATAAGGAGGTGAGCTTACATCTGCACTAATGGGAGGATTCACAAACAGTCACGGATTCACATGCAATCACGGATTGAAGATTAATTAAAGCACAAAGTCACTATATATTTTTTATGTTATATGGGACACTGTTTTCACACATTAATTAAGTATATATGTATATTTATTTAAAATAACTTTATTTGAGATTTATATATTTTTTTCTTCTCACTAAAAATGATGTATTATTGATTTAGTTATTTTTTAATCACGGATATATATTAATAGTAAGAATTAATTTGTTTTTTAAGTAAATTAAGTGATTATTATATATGAATTTTGGTTAAAGGATTTAATATATGCTTTTTTCACTTGTCTTCATATGGTCATATGTTCTGGGCGTGGATAAGTGATCATATGTAATTTTTAAGGAGCGCAACACAATAGGATTATATTAATTATACACAGTGGTAGTTATGTGTTAGGTGTCTGCGATCCTATTATATTAAGGACATATTTTGTCCAGTTTTGTGTATTAAGGTGGCTCTCTGATTTTGGCTCGCAAGATATCTTAACATCACTATGGTGTCTGTTTATGACACAGAGAATAGCTGCGATTCAACGGATCTCAGCTATTCTCTGGTCATTCACAGTTTATGACACTCAGGAGATCATGTCAGCCCTTCACTGGAGATCTGTGTTCTCCCTCCAGATTCTCCAGCCCAGAGCTGGAGAATCAGAGGGACCGCAGACTAAGCAGAGATAATTTACCTCTGCTTAGTAAACTGATCTTTTACTGTAATCTTGCGAGATTATAGTAAAATCAGCCGTTTTCTACACTTTGTAGACCGTTCTCCAGCGTTTGGAGACCGTTCTCCCTTAGTTCGGAGAACTGCTTCATAAACTGCATTCACAGGAGAACTGTGTTCTCCGAGAATGCCGGAGAACTGAGCAGCGATCTATTACCGCTGGTTCATAAACGGACACCTATATTGCCAAAAGTATTGGAACACCTGCCTTTACATGCACATGAACTTTAATGACATCCCAGTCTTAGTACCTAGGGTTCAATATCGAGTTGGCCCACCCTTTGCAGCTATAAAAGCTTCAACTCTTCTGGGAAGGCTGTCCACAACCTTTAGCAGTGTGACCATTCTTCCAGAAGTGCATTTGTGAGGTCAGGCACTGATGTCGGATGAGAAGGCCTGGCTCCCAGTCTCCGCTCTAATTCATCCAAAAGGTGTTCTATTGGGCTGAGGTCAAGTCAGTCAAGTTCCTCCACCTCAAACTCGCTCAACCTTGTGTTTATGGACCTTGCTGGAACAGGAAGGGGCCATTCCCAAACTGTTCCCACAAAGTTGGGAGCATGAAATTGTCCAACATGTCTTGGTATGCTGATGCCTTAAGAGTTCCCTTCACTGGAACTAAGGGGCCAAGCCCAACCCCTGAAAAACAACCCCACACCATAATCCCCCTCCACCAAACTTTACACTGGGCACAAAGCAGTCAGGCAAGTACCGTTCTCCTGGCAACTGCCAAACCCAGACATGTCCATCAGATTGCCAGATAGAGAAGCGCGATTTGTCACTCCAGAGAACACATCTCCACTGCTCTAGAGTGCACTTGGTGATGTAAGGCTTTGATGCAGCTGCTCGGCTATGGAAACTCATTCCATAAAGTTCCATGAAGGCCACATGATATTTGGAGGTCTTTAGCTATTGACTCTGCAGACAGTTGGTGACTTCTGCACACTGCGCGCTTTAGCATGCGCTGACCCCGCTCTGTCATTTTATGTGGCCTACCACTTCGTGGCTAAGTTTCTGTTGTTTTCAGTTGCTTCCACTTTGCTATAATACCACTAACAGTTGACTGTGGAATATTTAGTAGCAAGGAAATTTCATGGATGGACTTATTGAACAGGTGGCAACCTATCTTGGTACAGTGCTTGAATTCACTGAGCTCCTAAGAGCGACTCATTCTTTCACATATGTTTGTGGAAGCAGTCTGCATGCCTAGGTGCTTGATTTTATACACCTGTTGCCATGGAGGTGATTGGAACACCTGAATCCGATGATTTGGTCTCCCCTCCTTCACATTGCAGTCCCTAGCCCCCTTCATATCATCCCCCTCCCAATATTTCTGGCAATATAGGTGCAAAAGCTGAATGGTTAAGCAAAATGCTGTGCTGAAGCATGAAGTGCATATAGTTATAAATCTTTCTGACTCACATATGGGAAAAAAGAACAGCTATATCCAAAAAGAAAAGGAAAATATGCAATTTTATTTAGAAGTGAATGCCAATATCAAGTCTATATCATATAGTAGGCAATCAGTAACTGTAGAATCAAAGTACATACTCTACATTTGGTAGGGACAAGCAGAGTTATTTTGACCAGATTAATTTCACCATTGGTGAAAGTTGACACACAGCAGAAACATTTAGTTTCACTCAATCTGTAGTATACAAAGTTATATCCCTTACTTCTACTATAAATAATGGGGCTAAATAAGTGTCCATTTCTTAGCACAAGAACATGCCCAATATGTTCATTCTTTTAAACTATATGTTTAAAATAGAGGGAGTCAATACACATAGGATAGCAATTATCCACCTAACTACACTTCTAGCTAAAGAAAATAGGAGCCTGTAGTTTTATTGAAAATCACTAGATGGCACCATGACTCTATTTTTATAATTCACTAAACTGAAAAAAACTATATGCTACGAAAGGTAACCCTGATTCCAACGTAAAGTAAAAAAGGGACTTTTGTTATATCCTACTCCTCCATCTATATCAGTGGTGGTCAGCGTGCTAATTATAGAGGGCCGCAGGTGTACACCTCAACATATACAGGTGGCCAAACCATAGCAACATGTGTCATGCATTGAAATATTTTGCTTTAGGCAGCCTATTTAAAATGAGTGGGCTGTGATACAAATTAATGCATGAAAATTAAGATCCTGCTGCAAATTTTTGCATTGCACACCAAAACACATCTCCAAGCTCAGCCAGGGAAGTTGGTTTTCTTGTTGAAACAGTTGCATTTTCGAGGGCAGATGAGGTGACTTTCAAAATTAATGCATTTCAATGTACTAAAATGTGCATGCTGCAGTATTTTTAAACAACCATTTAAAGTAAATATAGAGCACCTTATTTACTACATTTGAAGTTCCATCAGGTTTGTACTTACTGGTTAGGGGTGTGATTAGAGCTTGTTTAGGCATTATTGTAAGTGATCATTATACTGTTTTGATGCAGCAAGGGTCTTATCCTGTGTTCTAATGGTCTTCAAAAAATAGATTATTATAAAGCCTAGCATAAAAAAAGTATGATGTAAAGCCTAATGAGATTAGTTCCCTTCATAGCATTGGATACAGAGTTGCATAATTACCAGTTAAAGCACTGCAGTGCCGAATAGCTGAAAATGGCCTGGTCATGAAGGGGGTAAAACCTTCTGGAGCTGAAGTGGGTTTACCATTGAAAGAAATTTGTTACCTGTTTAATAAGTGCAAAAAGTGTATGTTGATCCTGTCATAAACCCATAGAATTCATAACTTCCTCTTCACTCTTCTGGTTCTACACTGGGCAATGTTCTGTACTAGAGCAAACCGCTTAGGCCTTAGGGTGACAACTATGGTTGTGCTGCTGGTTCAATATTATTGGCACATGAACTTTATCTTTGATCCTCACCGTCCCATGTCACTTTTCAAAAAGGCTTAAGAATAGACAGGAAACATGCAAGGATGAGAAAAAATATGATTTCTCATTTGACTCTGAGACTAACAGTTTACAGACATACAGGGCCCAAAAGCACTATACATGTATACACTCTAGACAAGAACCACTGAATACAATGTATTTTTCAGGAGAAATTGTTTAGTCTTCATCGGGCAGTCCTTAAAGTGATAAAAAAAAAAATGTTTCTTAGCAAATAACAAACATGTTATACTTACCTGCTCTGTGCCAAGGTTCTGCCAAAAACAGCCCCGATTCTCCTCTTCTTGGGTTCCCCGCCAGCTAGGGTTGCCACCTCATCCCTTTAAACCTGAACACATATTAATTACACAGGTTCTGCGGTTGATTAAGATTGTAATTAAACTCACCTAGTGCCTTATCTGCATTAAATTAGCTTCAGAACCTGTGTAATTAATGTGTTCAGTTTTAAAGGGTTGAGGTGGCAACCCTACTGCCAATGCTCCTGGCTCCTCCCCCTTGACCAGTGCTATGAAAGCACTGGTGTATGCTCGCTCCCGATCCCCACTCTATATGTCCATAGGACACATAGATCCGCACTTGGCCCCGCTCCCTTGACCTCTCATTGGCTCACTGGCTGTGATTGTCTCAGCCAATGAGGAGAGAGAGACCTGGGACAGCCAAGGTAACAGTGGACATAGCTGGATTGAGAGGGGGTTTAGGTGAGTATTGGGGTCTGTGGGGGGAACAGCACACAGAAGGTTTTTTACCTTCATGCATAGAATGCATGAAGGTAAAAAAAAACTTTCAGGTTTTAAAACCATTCCATAGTTCACACACTCTTATTTTCCAATGCGCTAAAACTTTATAGTCTTCTAAAAGGCATATGAAGAAAAAAGAGTCCAAGTGGTGCTGGGACTTTGATGTGAGTTCATTCAAAGTAGTGAAAAGGCAAAAACATTTGAAGAGCTCACTAACTCAGGTTTGCCACCTCATCCCTTTAAAACCAAACGCATATTAATTACACAGGTTCTGAGGGTAATTTAATGCAGATAAGGCACTATGTGAGTTTAATTATCACCTTAATCAGCCACAGAACCTGTGTAATTAATATGTTTTTGGTTTTAAAGAGATGAGGTGGCAACCCTAGTTAGGCTCCTCACCATAGACAAGGCTACCCACCAGCAGTTTACCAGAAAAAAAACATGCACAAACGGAAGGCGTGTCAGACCAAAGGAGTTCAAATTCATACATTAGTTTGTACAAAAAAAGCAAATGTGTTTCAGGGGTTAGAGAAACTCCCCCTTCATTGGTTAAAATAAAAACCTTCAATGGACACAAAATAGAGCTTTCCTGTGTGATTTTGTGCTTAGAAACAAATGCTGGCCAGCAGTATCTGCATGTGCCACTAAATGCTAATGCAAAAATGCTGAAAAAAATGCTAAAAACCTCACGTTTTTTAACGTGACTTTACAGAGCTAACGTTACTAGCGTTATTAAACCGCCCAGTGTGCATGGAGCCTTAAAGACATATGTCCAGTTAAACAATTATTTGACTTGCAATGTCCCCAACATTCTGTAAGGGTGGCCAGCAAAGGCCATTTATGGTAACCCCTTGGCTACCTTTATTTCTTCTAGGGATAGTGAGTTCTCTGCTTGAGAATTTTTGCTAAATGGGATAATAAAACAATGATCACAGCTGGCTTGGTACAAGGGTCTGCATGCTTGGCATCTGTTCCTCACATCCCCTAAGGTAGCCTCATGAATTTTGCAGGCTCTGATCAACTCAGCTGGTCCAGCCACTTCTGCCCTTCCACATTATTCCACACTCTCTTCCCTTTAATTGGTTTAGCCACAATTTACCAAGTTTATTATGCCACAGAGACCATAAAGCTTCCTTTGGCGAATAACCTCTTCAAGTAAATCATTACAATTTTTGAGTCAATGGAGATGTAGACAGTTGCCTAAAGGGTATTGTGGCATACAGTATGTCTCTGTTGGCCGTATGTTATAAAAGTTATGTTTTTCTTGTTTTATTACTGTATTTGCTGTTCCACATCATGCTTATACTGTGATTACCGTGTGTATTGCTGGTGCTGAGAGAGTCTTTTTATGATGAATCATGCTGCTTCCTCCATGTTCATGTGACTACCCTGTGGTGGAGATACATACATACAAGGGAAGAGCAGCTTCCTGTGAGAGATCTGCTCCATGTATGGGAAGGGAATAGGAGCTGTGCAAGGATGTTATCTTGCTTGAAACATCCACTTGTGGGAACCAATTTGGAGTTCTGAGTGATATGGACTACTGTTTAAAGTGATTATAAACATATATTTTATTAATAACAAACATGTCATACTTGCCTGCTCTGTTCACAAGCCAGCCCCGATCCTTCTCTTCTGGTGTCCCCTAACGGCGCTCCTCTAGAGAATGCAGTAAGGTAAAAAGCCTTCTACCTTTACAACCACTTTATTGGATTAAATTAATGAATTTTCTCACCTACTTGACTACCTCAAGGGGCAGAGGCACCAGAAGAATATCTGAGGGGTGCTTAGAAGGTATGTACAGAAATGTGTATTGAAGACATCTTTGTGAACTATTCAACTCAGCGGTACCGTCTCAGAAAAGCTGCACAACAAAAGTGAGAGAAGAGTTATAAAGTGAGAGAAGAGTTATAAAGTGTGAGAAGAGTTATAAAGTGTGAGAAGAAACTGATGTCCATAGTGAATAATGTGAAGTGTTACAGAAGTTGGGCCACGGATTACAAGCTATTAATTGTGTTCTCCTGGAGAAGCATCACTTTTGAAGTAATTGTAAATCTTCCCAGTTTTTAAAATAATAAACATGTCATACTTACCTGCTTTGTGCAATGGTATTGCACAGAGCAACCCGATTCTCATTTTCTGGGATCTCCAGCTCATGCTTCAGTCTCCTCTGTGGAGTGCCCACCAAGAAACCATTTCCCATGGTGGGCACTCATGCGAGCCAACTCCCAAGCCAGGCTGTTTGCAACTACTCAGACACACAGCCGCCTGTCTCGGCCCCGCTCTCTGTGGGAGCTAAGAAATGGAAGAGGAACTGCTGCAGATGTGCACATCATTTATTCGAGATCAGGCTCAGATGAATATTTAGGGTCTGTGAGGGGAGCTGCATGTAAAAGGTTTTTTTATGCAGAAGCAAAAATCCTTTTACCCTTACAACCACTTTAAGTTGGAGTGCTGCCTTAAAACCAGCATTGTGTTAAACCACAGCCTCAGTCTGCCTTTGGGGACACTAGCGAGGGCTCTCTCCAAGTCCCATTATGGGTGCAGTGAG